ACTCAATCTAGTTAAGCAGGTGACACATATGAGATTTAGTTTACAACGCTGTGCTTTGCGTTTCTGTGTTTATGTTGGAAACAGGTTTGTTTGTTCTACGGCCTGAGATATCAGTTTTCTGTTTTCCACACAATCTAGTTAAACAAGCGACACGTATGTGATTTAGTTTATAACCCTGTGATTTGCATTTCTGTCCACTTGTTGGAAACGGGTTGATATGCTCTACTACACTAGGTATCACTTTTCTGTTTTCCACTCAACCTAGTTAAACAAGCGACAGGTATTTGATTTAGTTTACAACCCTGTTCTTTAGTCCTATCCTTTTGATGGAAAAGCGTTTGTGTGCCCTAATGGACTCAATACCATTTTTCTGTTTTTCACTCAACCTACTTAAGCAGGCGACACATATGTGAATTAGTTTACAATACTGTGCTTTGCGTTTCTGTCCTTATGTTGGAAACGGGTTTGTGTGCTCTACTGCATGAGATATCAGTTTTCTGTTTTCCACTCAATGTAGTTAAACAAGCGACACGTAAGGGATTTAGTTTATAACCCTGTGTTTTATGTTTCTGTCCTTTTGTTGGAAACGGTTTGATATGCTCTACTACACTAGGTATCACTTTTCTGTTTCCCACTCAACCTAGTTAAGCAAGCAACACGTATGTGTACTAGTTTATAACACTCTACTTCGGTTTTCTGTTTTGCCATTGGAGATGGTTTCATGTGCTATTCTCTACTTTGCGAGTTATCCGTTTTCTGTTTTCCACATAAGCTTGTTTAACAGGCGACACTCATGTGATTTAGTGTAAAATGTTGTGCTTTGTGTTTCCGTTCTTTCGTTGGAAACGCGTTTGTTCGCTCTACTGCACTAGATATCATTTTTCTGTTTTCCCTCAACCTAGTTAAGCAGGCAACACGTATGTGATTTAGTTTACAACACTGTGCATTGCATTTCTGTGCTTATGTTGGAAACAGGTTTGTTTGTTCTACGGCATGAGATATCAGTTTTCTGTTTTTCCACTCAACGCAGTTAAACATTTGACAGGTATGTGATTTAGTTTACAACCCTGTTATTTGTGTTTCTGTCCTTTTTTGGAAAAGCGTATGTGTGCTCTACTGCACTACATATCATTTTTCTGTTTTCCACTCAAGCTAGTTAAGCAGGTGACACATATGAGATTTAGTTTACAACACTGTGCTTTGTGTTTCTGTGTTTATGTTGGAAACAAGTTTGTGTGCTCTACTGCATGAGATATCAGTTTTCTGTTTTCCACACAATCTAGTTAAACAAGCGACACATATGTGATTTAGTTTATAACCCTGTGCTTTGCGTTTCTGTTATTCCTTCTCCATGAACCCATACATTTTACTCAGGTGCTATTGCTGTGATTTAAAAAGGGACTATTGGAATAAACCCAGGTGACTAGTTTTTTATGGGAAACCCTTTCAGACAGATCCCATATGTAGTGTGTTCGTTTATTAATTTTCTTTCAGTCCTTACTCCCAACTCAAGAACTGTTTGACTCTGCTAGTGGGCTCCAGCAGTCCTCCAAACCCATTTATGCATATATGGTCCTGTCTTGTCTTGGGTAGTCTTAGGACTGAGAGACTATTGGCCTTTAGACACAGAGTGCTTTCAATTTGAAACAATATTATTTCACAACCAGACAGACATGTAGGCATAACCTCTTTTCATTTTTAACATCATACTTTTACTTTGTGTAGCTTAGATTTCATGATGAACAACTTAAAGCGAGAAAGAACTTGTACTGTGGGGTCAGACACAACTGAATTCATGAGATAGTCCTCTTCTACAGCTATGTGATCTTTAGGAAGAAAAGTGGTATTGTCACAGGCTGGTAAAAGGATGAAATAGAAATAGAAATAGAAATGGTGTACACGTTGGCTCGCATGGTGCTTTAGATTGAACAGGCACTGAAGGCAAGTTTGCTATTTTCTTCTCCCTCTCCATCCTACCACAGCAATTTCATGTTAAATAAAAGGGACAGAATGCTGAAAATATGAAGCAGGAAAACACACTGCAAGGCTGTTTGCATTTGTGAACAAATGTGGAAGATTGTAATTTGGTAAAGATTGTGCTCTTGGTCTGCCATAATGAAACACCAGACACAAGTCTTGATGTTTGTTTGAAATCATGTGGGATGAGAGTTACACGGCGGGTTCACAAATCAAGCCACACATCTCCACCCCTTATCTCAAGCTGTACTACAGAGCAATAGTAATAAAAACTGCATGGTATTCGCATAGAAACAGAATGGCGGATCAATGGAACCGAATGGAAGAACCAAAAATAAACCCACACACCTATGGATACTTGATTTTTGACAAAGAAGCCAAAACCATTCAATGGAAAAAAGACAGCATCTTCAACAAATGGTGATGGTCCAATTGAATGTCTACATGCAGAAAATGAAAATAGATCCATACTTATCACCCTGTACAAAACTAAAGTCCAACTGGATCAAAGATCTCAACATAAAACCAGATACTCTAAATCGCTTAGAAGAAAAAGTGGGTAAGACATTGGAATTCATTGGCACAGGAGACAACTTCCTGAACAGAACACCAACAGCACAGGCTCTAAGAGAAACAATCGATAAATGGGACCTCATGAAACTGAAAAGCTTCTGTAAAGCAAAGGACATAGTCATCAAAACAAAATGACAGCCTACAGACTGGGAAAGGATCTTCACCAACCCTATATCTGACAGAGGGCTGATACCCAGAATATATAAAGAATATATAAAGAACTAAAGAAGTTAAAAAGCAGCAAACCAAGTAATCCAATTAAAAAATGGGGTACAGAGCTAAACAGAGAATTCTCAGTAGAGGAATACATAATGGCAGAGAAACACTTAAAGAAATGTTCAACATCCTTAGCCATCAGAGAGATGCAAATCAAAACGACCCTGAGAAAACCTGACACCCACCAAAATGGCTTAGATAAAAAAACTCAAGTGACAACACATCCTGGAAAGGTTGTAGAGAAAGGGGAACCCTCCTCCATTGTTGGTGGGAATGCAAACTTGTACAACCACTTTGGAAATCAATCTGGTGCTTTCTCAGACAATTAGGAATAGCGCTTCCTCAAGAACCAGCTATACTACTCCTAGGCATATATCCAAAAGATGCACAAGTACACAACAAGGACATTTGCTCAACCACGTTTGTAGCACCTTTATTTGTAATAGCTATAACCTGGAAACAACCCAGACATCCCTCAGTTGAGGAATGGATACAGAAATTGTGGTACTTTTACACAATGGAATACTACTCAGCAATTAAAAATGAGGAAATCATGAAATTTGCAGGCAAATGGTGGGACCTAGAAACGATCATCCTGAGTGAGGTATCTCAAAAACAGAAAGACACACATGGTATATACTCACTTATATAGACCTATAAGATAGGGTAAACATACTGAAATCTGTACACCTAAAGAAGATAAACAAGAAAGAGGACCCAGAGTACGATGATCAATCCTCACTTAGAAAGACAAATGGGATGGACATTGATTGTAGGAGCAAACAAGTAACAGGACAGGAGCCTACCACAGAGGGCCTTTGAAAGACTCTACCTAGCAGTGTATCAAAACAGATATTAAGATTCATAACCAAACCTTTGGCAGAGTGCAGGGAATCAAAAAACAAAGGCAAGATTAGTTAATACGACCTGGAGAGGACAGGAGTTCCACAAGGACCAAATATATCTGGGCACAGGGGTCTTTTATGAGACTGTTTCTCCAAACAAGGACCATGTATGGATGCAACCTAGAACCTCTGCTCAGATGTAGCCCTTGGTAGCTCAGTATCCAATGGGTAACCTAATAAGGGGAACAGGGACTGTTTCTGACGTGAACTCAATGGTGGGCTCTTTGACATCCCCCCACCTCCCAGGGAGGAGCAGCCCACAGAGGAGGACTTTGCAGCCAGTCCTGAAGACACATGATAAACAAGTATCAGATGAAAGGGGAGGAGGTCCTCCCCTATCAGTGGACTTGGAAAGGGGCAGGGAGGAGATGAGGGAGGGAGGGTGGGATTGGGAGGGAATGAGGGAGCGGGATACAGCAGGGATACAAAGTTAACAAACTGTGACTAATATTTAAAAAATAAAAAAAAAATGGAGAAAAAAAAAACACGCCAAGCAACTGGTTCCACGTGGGAGGTTTTAAACCACAAACACCTGTTTTCTCAGGGTGCAATTTCTTTTTTGAAGGCTGGAGGTGCCAGATTAAGTGGCTAGCCAGTTGTTCCCAGCAAGGGCTCTTTTCTTAGTTTGCAGATGATGTCATTCTCTCTGCGCCTTCGCATGGCAAACAAACCCAAAACGGGACAGAGCGAGAAAGTGGGGAGGGAGGAGAGACAGATAAAGCAGAGAGACAGAGTGAGGCACAGAGAGACAGACAGAGATATGAGGAGGGAGGGAGATGAAGGATGGTAGGGTAGGGTAGGGGGGTAGAGTAGGGTAGGGTAGGAGAGGCTGGGGTAAGGATGGTGATAAAAAGTCCGACTTCAGAAAGGCTCCAAAGGTGTCCTGTTGCAGAGCCAGAACTGAGGAGGCTCTTTTATGTCAGGATAAGTTGCTCACACCCCAGTGTGAAAAGTGGACTCAGAGTGACTCTGGTCAGACAGGGATCTTGGAAAGTGAGTTGGAAGTTGACTTGGGAACACAAATGTAACAATTGCATGAATGGAAATCAAATATTACTTCATTTCTAAGATGGGCTTGTAGAGCTTAGATTTAGTTGCTGTCCATATTTGGGTTCTCAAATTCTACCTCATTTGGGTCCTTGAAACTTGGCCTGACCTACAATACCACACACAACTAAGTAGATAGGGGGAAGAAGGCCACTACAGACTTCTCAAAAGGCAGGCAGGGTCCCTCACACGAAGTCAAGGCAAAATCAGGAACCTACCCCCACCCAGCCCCATTTTGGGGTAAGCAGACCAAAGAAAGAAAGAAAAGGGGAGTAGTCACTTGTGTCCAGTTTATTTTCATTTCAAAATCAAGTTTATTGATATACAACATATATAACAAAACACATTGACTTTAAGCATATAGTTTTGTGTCCTGATGAATGAATACCCCTATAGCTATCTTCACAATCGCAATATGGATGTCTTCCATCATCTCTGTATGTTCTCTCTGCCGCTCAGAGCTAAATCCCTCTGCAAACTCTAGTCCTCAAAGTCACACATTTGCTTACTTTCCTTGTAGGGTAGTTCTACCTGCTCCAGTTTTTCATATGAATAAAACCCCTGTGTTTGGCTCCTTTCAGTGGCATGAGATACTTGTACCAAGAGTTCGTACTTACTGTTGATTGATTCATGGTCTAAAAGTGGCACACATTTTAAAAATTTGTCTAGCCACTCATCTATTATAGGCATTTGAAGTATTTAAAAATTTTTTTCCGTTATGAAGAGTTCCTTTAATGTCGAAGCTAATTCATTTCTATTCCTCCAAATAAGGCCAACAATGTGATTCTAACAAGTGATGGTGCTATTCTAGGGGACACCTGGAGTTGATGGCTTTGCAGCATCCTTGAGGAAACAGGAGGTGATGTGTCCATGGTGTGGGGCTGTACTCATCCCAAACCTCATTTGTACATAACTCTATTCACCCTTCAGACAAATATAAGCTTTACTAAGATGTCACCTGATACCATAATTCACTTCTTTTGACTATAAAACTTAAAAATTTTTAGTACTTTAGGAAGCACTTTCACACCAATTTGAAGTCAATCCTTGCCTCCATTTCCTTCAGCCCCAGACATCAATCTACCTCAGGTTTTCACTGGTTTGCCTTTTTTTTTTTTTTTTGACATTTCAAGTAAATTAGAACAGTAGACTTTGTGCCTGATTTTTAAAATTTGATGTTTTGGGGGAGCCTTCACATTTTTGTATACATCAATCCTTTATATAACTTGCCAAGAAGTATTTCCTCTGACTGTGTAGCTAGCTATACCATGTATTCATATGATATACTCATTTTGTTAAGCTGTTCATCTGCTCATGGCCACTGGGGTCATTTTCTAGCTGTTGTGATTGATGCTTTCTGAACACATATGTGCAAGTCTGTGGCTAGCTGGAGGTTTTCATTTCTTTTGAGTTTAGACTTATGGGTCTCATAGTAAATTTATGTTTCAATATTTACAGAAATTTCTAAATTATTTTTCAATGTGGCTATACCATTTTATATTTCTACCAGAAATATATGAGGGCCTGTTCTCTCTAGACTCATTTTATGTGGGGAATATAAGAGAATTTAAGATCCACCCTTGGGCTGTCTTGAAGAATCTATTTAAAATATGGTTCCTTGACTAGAGGATAAGCTTGTCAACATCAGTTACCGCTTTGGCTACACATTAATCATCTGGGACTGTTTCTAGTGATGGTCAAGCCACAGTTCAAATAATGAAAATAAGAGAGTTTGTGGGTCTGGGTGAGTAGGCATTGGACTTTTAATAGGTGATTTCAATGATCAAGCTGATAATGTCTGATGAAAAAAAAGCTCTCTTTGTTGCTAAGTCATTCACTGAGATAATAAGCCACACACTTAGAGCTGACAAAAGACACTGTCTACAGGACCCACTTATAGCCACAGAAGGAACAAAAGATGTACTGTCTGGTCAATGGTGGCTTTTAAATTATCCTCATATAATTTTATTGCTATTATTTCAACCATTTTGACTATGAAGTGGAGGACGGCTGATAACTGAAGGTGTAGGGGATGGAGACTAATGCAAAACTCTGTTTGTTTCTGAGACACTTGAGCTATTTGAATGTCAGTAGATAGCCAGGAAATCAGGGGCAGGGATAACTGAGGGGTGGCATCTGTCAGGGAGGAGGCATCCAGACCCAGGTAGAAACACCCTGCTTTCATTCTTGCAATGATCTTTCACCTCAACACAGCTCTCCTGCTTTGCAGTGACAACCAGCTCCTGTTAACTGGTCTTCCAAAGAGGGCCTTGCCGTTGCCAGCTTTATCCCTTTGCTTTTCTATTGTTTTACCTTTTACCTTTCAGCTCACATTTCTTTTCTTGGGGCCACTTTCCTGACCACCATGTCCAAGCAGGATAGAACTATCATTTGTTCATGATTTCCCTTTCAACCTCTCACATTAAATAAGGATTTGTGCCCATCCCGGCAGTCATCTGATTATACCTGTCTGCATACACTAGGCTCCAGGCCCCATGGGAGCAGGATTCACACCTGGTTTTGTTTATGTTTCTTCCTGGCTTTAAGCAAGTGCTCAGATTATTTTGTTCCATTGTTAGGACCCACAGGATTAAAGTAGAAAGGCATATTAGATGCTATCAGCCCCATCATTGTCTCACTGAGCAAACAGGTGTGGAATGGTGAGAGGAGGGGTTCCTTCAGGGCCACACAGCTGGATGATGGTGGAGCTGGAATATGATCCTTACTTCTCTCTGGGCCACTGATCTTTGCACCCCATTGAGTATTTGTTCAGTACAAATACTGCAGTCATGGTCTCTGCTTTTCCTTCCCCTTCTCGTAAGTAAATTATATGAGCTGTGAGTGGTGTTTAAACTACTTTTGTGTATGTTCTGTTCAATAACAAAATATCAAGCGATTGGTGGCAGACAAAAATAGTATCCTGAAAGAAAGGAGGTGAAGCCATTTTAAGGACTCCCTTCCTTTATCATCATACAAACACATATCCCTGACCAATATGGCCAGTGGGCTGCTGACCCACCTAGACCCAATCAAGAAAGAAACTATGCAAAATGCTCACATACCTCACGCTTACAATCCAGAAACTGTGAACTAACTAGGAAGCGATGCAATCCCATTTCCCTAGGGGGAGAAGGTGATCATTTTCTACATCACCAGGTTACCATTTAATTATGCAAAGAGAGAAGGCATGTTTTTTTCTGTGCAGAATAAAACACATGTGCCCTCTGTTGGTCAACTGCAGAAATGTCTCAAGTGGGAGAGAATCATTCTGTGGGTGAGAATCCGAGTTCCTAGACTCCCCTCACCTCAAAAGCCATTAAACCCAACTAAACAAGACAGTTTATAGATAACAAATCTTTTTGAGGTCACGATTATGTTGTCACAGAGCCATGCCATTACGTAGAGTGAGGCTGAGGTTTATTACTCTGGCCCATTGTGAGGAGGGAGAAAAGAGGGTCCCAGCAAGCAGCCAACACACCATCTATGGGAGGAATACTGAGCTCTGCTGACACTTTTATAACATGTTAGCTAAATCTGAGAAGGCAAGGCAGGTAGGTCTCGTGGGTATAGTGCTGGGACCAGGGGCAGCTGACAGGATGTGGATACTTGCGTGCCTTGGGCTGTTATACGTAGTTATACAGCTTAGGGACAGAAGAAAGAAAGTGAAGAGAAGGAAGTGAATGATGTATTTGTAACATGTATAAGTATTCAAACTCCCTCATCAAGCAGCCATGTTAAGAAATACAAACTGACTGTGGTTGAGGAGGGAGAAGGTCCGTGATGGTGGAATGGACTAGTCATCACAGATGGGGCAATTGAGCTTTTTTTGTAAAAAAAACCCCACAGAACTTGATTTCTTCTGTTTTAAAAAGACTGGTGCTATCCCTTCCTGCTTAGCTAGTCCCTAACCTTTCATTAAAAAGTTCTTGATTGTGTTATCTTAGTAATATCTGTTTAGTTTTGTGATGTCCCAAGATTTTTAAAAATGAATCAAAAAGTAAAAATTTCTTCAAAATCTTTGGAAGTACAGATTTGAAGAAGCTAAAACTCAAGAGATCATGACTGTTTAATAGTAACTTTTGGATGGAAATCAAGTGGCGTGTTCCTGCCCTGCCACACAGATCATTACCCCTGGACATTCATGCTTCACTTAGAACACGATCAAGTACAAAAGAGGGAGGGACTTTAAGAGCATTTAATTTTTAATTTTTAGTGCAAAATGTGTAGTAATCTACAGAAATGACTTCTTCATGCACAGAGAAATTTGGCATCCATGATTGTGGACAAGCAGAAACTGCACATTAATTTATTTTTCTCTGAAAACTTTGACAAATTGAAAAAAATAAAACTTTTGTCTTTGTGCTTTCTGATGTCAAAGCAAGCCTGTCTTATTATTTCATATTTCCAATAGATAGACTGGTTTGTGGAGAGTAAATATGAAGGCATGAGAGTATTTAGAGTCACCTCATTTGGTGATCACTTTAAAACAAGCTTTACTGTACACATCAAAGATGCCAGGTGACAAATCCTGCAAAACACTAAGGATTCCAGCCAGAAACAGGCTGAAACAATGGGTAAAAAGGTTTACTATTTCAGTTTCACAGCAAAAAGAAGGGTGAAAAAAATCACAGAAGGAATTTGGATGTTTTCTGCTCCCACACACTGCATTAGTTAATGAGCTTACTTCTCACAGCAGAACATAAACATTGCTTGCATATTTATTTGCACGTAACACCTATAAGCATATAGCTTCTACACTTTAAGTATATTTACAAATTCAACAGAATATCTACATATAAAAAGCTTTACTTAAAATTAAACTTGATGCAAGTTATGAAAAACCAATTTATTGGCAAATGAAATTGAGCATTCCTTCAACCATAGGTTGTCATAGATTTTTAAACAGAACGTAAGCCATTTCATACACATTGTCTACAGCTATGATAGGATATATGTATTTATTCCTTAGACTGTAGGTGTAATCCCTTTAACTGCTGGCCTAAGTAAGCGCTTGTCAGACTTCTCAGATGAGTTGTAATTTGGATACACATAGTGAATAATTTAGTGTTATTGGCATGCTGTTGTATGCTTTTACTTCTGCAATCATTTCTTTTTCTATCCAGTTCCAACCATAGCATTTTTCTTTTTCAGTATGACTTGTTTGACTAGAAACCACAAAAGACCACAAAATTACCCAATGACATTGACTCCAGCCAATGACAAAGGTTTGTGCTTGATGCTTATAAGGGAAAGCCCCTTGAGATAAACATGCTCTTATTTTCACAATTTTCAGCATTTTGGTGATCATTATCTCTGTCTTTGAAGAGTTGTCTCCAACAACAACAGTAGCACACGATGGAGCTGCCCACACCACCCAATACAGAGTGCAGGAGTCAGGGAATACTTATTATCTAAAGGCACTGCGTGTGTCTTGCCCTGCATTTTCTGGACTAAAATTTGAAATTTCACTTGAGAGCTTTGTCTTCAACTTTTCCAGTATGGCACAAATGCCAGAAGGTGTCACAATATGCAATGTTTATGCCCCCAAAGGACTGACCACAGAGACAGTGTAAGAAGCAGAAACCTGCTGCTGTGTCACCGGAAGTCAAGAAGCCTAGAAAGTAACAGGAGCAAAGAACAGGTACCAGAGTCTCAGTGAGCATTAGCAGAGGTGGCTGTCATGACTAACTCATGTAGCAAGTATATACTGTACCTACTGTTCCTAAACAGTCTCCCCAAAAGACTAACAACAGCTAGACATAGTCACGAGTTCCACAACAATGTCCACAGAGACACTGAAGCTCTAGAGAACACTACAGTAACACTCTCCACAATGACAACGGAATTCATATTTAGGGTTCAGCTGAAGATAGTGTCAACAAAGTACCCACCCACGTCACAATCACATACACAGGGGTGTCCTCTGTGTAGCATGTTTCATGCATCTTATTGAACTGTATCCCACACAGGGAATAATGTGATCTATTGATGATGTATTTTTCTTTTAATCAGTTTTTCTTTTAATCAGAAAATTGAGAAAACCCACTTTGAACAAAAAGTGTGCACTTTGCACCCCAGTTCATATTAATGTATCATTTGATTGAGTTATGTTCTTGATCTGTTCTCATAATACTCACATACAGCAGAAAACATTCTTTCTACCAATATGTTCATAGTATGAGAGGAATGACAAATACTCAGGAAACACATTCCAGAGAAATGGGACATTGGCACAGAGCTTAAAGACTTAAACAAAGGAGTTCATGGCATTGACAGGAGAAGGAGCCTCTGAGCTTTCATTTCCTTCTGCTGGTTCTTTCTCTTTCTTACCACTGTATTGTCCAATAAAGGAGCCATCCTCATTGAATTGACCATTCACCCCTTCTCCATAGTCAACAAGGCTGTCATCACTATCTTCTTTTTTCACAGTCCTGTCTGAAGGTGTTCGACTTCCTTTTTTCAAAGGCTTGTGATCTTCTGCATCACTGGAAAAAAAAGTGTGTGTTGTGGGGGACATTTTGGTAAGACTGGCATCTAGGTAAAGTGCCTTTTTACAGACCATGTATGCAAATTATGAAAAAGCATATGGAGTCCCTGAGCTGCTGCGGCCAAATCTAACCACCAGGTGGATTCCTGTGACTAGGGTGGTGTTGGAATGGAAATTGGAAATGGTTGGTTCATGATCTGCAGCAGAGTGGATGGCTTTCTGAGTGTGCATGCTAAGTTAAATGAGAGATTTTGACACCAATCCAAGAACAATTACAAGCAATGGGGGGGGGGGGACTGAAGATAGCTGAAAATTATCACTGATTCAATTCAAAGGAGCGAGGTGGAGCTCAGGGCAGCAGGGAGTTAGTGTATTAAACAGTGGAATATCTCTGACTCCTTGGATGTGAATGGAGCCTGGTTTTGGTTACATATGAAATATGAATTGTTTTTCCTGAGCCAGAAGGAGGAGCAAAATCCTACAGTTCAAATAATTTTGTTATTGAGTGCAGGCCAGATTTGTAAACTTCTGCCTTACCTTTCAAAAGACCTAGAAAGGAGATTCTAGACCATTAAAAGGAGGCAGAGGAAACAAATGAGAACAGCCTAAGAAGAAAAGCACAGTCCTGATACTGATAGATCAGAGGATTACTTTTCTCCTAAAAATTTTTTGGTCAATGGGTAAAGATTTATTAATTTGGAAAGATAAACACTTTGCCTTAAAAGCAATATTTGAACTATAAATGGCATAAATGCCCCCAAGCCATAAAGGGAACGAGTGCTTCCAAACCCACAAAAACAAATATTTCCTGTCTTCTGCTTAACCTATTTCTCACCTCTCCTCTGTGCTGTGCACACATGGAGGGGATCCAAGGCGCGCACTTTCGCAGAGCATTATAGGAGTCTTATTATTGCTTTGCTTATCTTTTTGTTGAACCCTTAAGCACAACTTCTGGAAGCAAAAGAGTATTTATTGTGTTTAAGAATGTCCTCTAACATGGTCACGTAGGTCACTGAATTTAAGGTCATTCACTAAATGGCCACATCCTTAGGTATACTGACTGACTCCTTAACAGGTACCATTTGGGGAAAGAACAGCAAAAAATATTTAGTAGTAACAACCTTCGGTAAAAATAGGAATGACATATAATACTTGAACAAAATGCCTTGATGTACTTGATGTGACAAAGGGGTCATCATAAGTGCAGTGTTTTAACAGTGATTGGTGCGAAGATCACTATGGACAATACTGTTGGTTTTATTTGTTTTTTTTTTTTTTCTAGTCAAGCTACAAATACTTAAAGATAAATAAATCTGTCTCTTTCAGTGATACTTTCTACTAGATATCTCTTATTTTTCTCTCCAAGAAGAACTTGTCAAAACTTCATGTGCTATCAAAAATGACCTGTTCAGATAATATACAAGTGCACATTGCAATTTGAGCAATCTATAGAACTTGGTGAAATCATAGATTATTGGGGGGAACATTCAAAGGTCATAACACCGAAAGAACCCAACCTATTATAAAAACATCTTATACAACATCTTTGAGATTTAGGTGTGAACTTCTACACTTTGCTTGAATACATATAATATTTATTTCCCTGAAAAGTCCAATAATAAGCAGAATTTTGCCACCTGAGTTCCACTTATTATTACATCATAGATCATGTTCATTATGGCATTTGTTTGATCCATTCATTAATCCAGTCTTCCCTTCATCTAATGTTTAGTGAGTGCCTACTCTAAGGCAGATGGCATTCTAGGCACTGGGAACATAGTAACATGCAACACAGACTAAAATGCCAATTTTATATCCAGTGAACTAAAAGGCAGTTAACAACTAACATGGTACAGAAAATTATTTCTTTCAGGTATTCAGGGCTGCAGAGAATCTGAGTAAAGAGGACAGAAGGTGCTATAGAAGAAGGTTGTGTTGACATATGATGAACAGGGAAGGACTTATTTAAAAATATCATCTGATCAAGGATCTAAGAGTAAAGCAGTCATGAGGATGACTAGAGCAAGAGCAATCATAGCAAAAGCAACAAACAGGACAAATGTTCCAAGGCAGGGGCAGTCCTTGCATATTTTAGAAACAAGCAAGGTGCTTGCTGTGGCTGGAATTGAAGGAGTGAGTAAGAAAGAGTAATAGGAAGTGACAATTGTAGGTCATGGCTATATGGACACTGAAGAACCTCTGTCTCTTAAGACAGAAGGCCTGGGGGTTATTTCCATGAGGGAGCACTGTGGCCTGACCTATATTATCCTAAAACCACAACTCTGCTATCAAATGTTGACAGTAGCCTGCCCCTGAGAGGAGGGGTTGGTAAACCTGGGCAAACTTGAGCCATACCTATTTGTGATTTATTTATTGCCTAGGTCTCATTTTTTTCAGAATCACAGAGTTCCAGCTAAGAATATGAGGGCTGCAAAGTCTGAAATATTTACAAGGGACTCTTGATAAGTGTGAGTCTGCAAAGCTCTGCACTAGAGTCAGAAGATAACTTCCATCATTGAGGAGAGAGATGGCTGTAGTTTGGAATGGAATAGAATTTTGAAGAGGTTTATACAAAATGCTCAGATTATAGTCATATTCTTGAAAGTAGACCAAAAAGGACTTCCTGATGGATTGGTTAGGGTGTAACAGGGAAGATTATAGCACCAGGATTCCTGAATTTTCCCTTTTCACCGAGCAGCAGAGCATGCTCAGGTGAAGATCTGAAGTTAGGTTTGGGCACATTAAAGTTTGTACCTGTCAGAAGCACCACTTCTTTTTTTTTTACTTTTTAAATTTTATTTTTTTCTTATCAGTTACATTTTATTAACTCTGTGTCCCAGCCATGTCCCGATCCCTCATTCCCTCCCAGTCCCTCCCTCCCTCCTCTCCACCGTGCCCCTTTCAAAGTCCACTGATAGGGGGGATTTCCTCCCCATTCATCTGATCCTGTTTTATCAGGTATCTTCAGGACTG